GGTTTGAGTGGGATCGGATTGGAATCCTGTGGGCTGGAGGGCTGAGGTCACAGCAGAGGGCGGAGGAGCTTGGGGGCTTCATGGCCCTGGCTGGGGACGAACGGCTGGGAGGCCGGGTCTTCGCCCACTGTGGCTGGGGTTGGCGGGGAGCACTGCCTACTGAGTATGTTTTGTTTTTGCAGTGCTGGGACTTGAACCCAGGGCCTCACCCATGCTAGGGGAACATCTACCTTGGAGTCACACTCCCAGCCCTCAGTGTGTGTCTTAATCTTTACTGTCAACTTCATTTAATCCTTATGGCTAAACTGTGTTTCCAGAGAGTGGCCGGGAATTGCAGGCCAGGGTGGACTTCAGTCTGTGGACAGTTTTGTTCGTCTCATTTGAAGCTTTTCTAGAAATCGAATTAGAAGATCTGGAGGTGGGGTGTGGACTGCAGCTGCTACTGGGACTCTACACCTATTATATAAATATACATATTTTTGTTGTAATTAAATCTTGAGGTCATCATAGATGCAGAGCTGAAGTGGTTCGTGGTAGAGCGCTTGACTAGCATGGGTGAGGCCCTGGGTTTCACTTGGGACCAAAAAAAAAAAATTATTCAGAGAAATCCTGTGCTCTTTATCCAGTTTTCCCAAATGGTAACTTTTTCTTTTCTTTCTTCTTTTTTTTTTTTTTTTGGCAGTAGTGGAGTTCAATTCAGGTCCTCACACATGCTAAGAAAGTGCTCTACTGGCTGGGTGTGGTGGCACAGGTCTGTAATCCCAGCACTGGGGAGGCTGGGGCAGGAGGATCCTTTCGAGTTCGCGGCCAGCCTGGGCTACAAAGTGAATTGAAGGCCAATCTGAAAGACACAGCGAAACCCTCTCTCAAAGAGACAAAAAAAAAAGAAGTAAAAAAAGAAAAAAAGAAAGTGCTCTACCACTGGACTTCCTCCCCAGCATTTTAAAAAATTTTATTTTAAGACAAGGTCTTGTCCTATCTAGCCTTGAACTTTTGACCCTCCTGCCTCAGCCTCCTGAGGGAGTAGCTAATATTATAGGCATGGACTACTTTGCCCAGCTGGAATGATAACATCTTGCATGATTACGGGGTAATATTGCAGTCTGGGTATTGACATTGCCACACCAACTTCCCTGTTCACCTCCTGCCCTCCTTGCTCCTGGCAGCCGCCAATCTGTCTTAATTTCTATACTTCTGTTATTCCAAGCACGCAGTGTAAACAGAATCATGCGGCTGTCGCGCCTTGGGGTTGGCTTTGTTCACCAGATTCCTGATTAGTGTGGCTATCAATAGCTCATGCCTTTCCATAGCCAAGCAGTGTTCTGTGCCGTGGATATAAACATTTTGGACAAAGGTTATCTGTTGGTCTCTAGGTTGGGGCTATTATGAATATAATAGCTAAAAACATTAGGCTGGGCCTGGTGGTGCACCCCTGTAATCCCAGCACTCGTGAGACTGAGGCAGGAAGGATCACGGTGAGTTTGAGGCCAGCCTGGGCTACATTGAGGCCAGCCTGGATTGCATGATGAAAGCCTGCTTCAAAAAACAAACAGTCTTGGGCAGCAGTTATTTTTTTTGTTTGTTTGTTTTGTTTTTTTTACTGTTGGGGATTGAATCTAGGTCCTTCACACTGAGCTACATCCCCTTTTAAAAATTTGAGACAATGCCTACCATGGTGGCACACACCTGTAACACCAGCACTTGTGAGGCTGAGGCAGGAGGATCACTGTGAGTCTGAGGCCAGCTTGGGGTACAAAGTGAGCTCAGGGTCAGCCTGAACTGCATAGTGAGACCCTGTCTCAGACAGATGAAAGAAAAGAAAAGAAAAGATAAGAAAAGAAAAGAAAACAAAGAGAATTCGAGACAGGGTCTTGCTAAGTCACTAAGCTGCCCAGCTAGGCTCAAACTTGGTTACTTATTTCTTTTCTGTTGTTTTTTGCTTTTTTGGTGTTTTTGAGACAAGATCTCATGTATAATTCACATTGGCCTCAAACTCACTCTGTAGCCCAGGCTGGCCTCAAGCTTGTGGCTATGCTCCTGCCTCAGCCTCTCAAGTGCTGAGGTTACAGGTGTGTGCCACCATGCCCAGCTTTTTCCATTTGACTTTTGACAAAGATGCAAATAGCAATTCAACGGAGAAAGACTGCTGTCCCTGGAAATGATGCCAGGGGCAGGTGTCCCTCCTCATCAAAGGTGAAGAAGGAGATGGAGAAATTGAGGGAGAGGAAGAGAAAAAGGAAGGGGAGATGTAGAGGAAGAACCTTGACCTGATATAAAAATGAACTGAAAATGGCTCATAAACCTATAAACTTTAAAAGGTGTAGAAAATAAAACTAGGTGCCGGGTGTGGTGGTGCTTGGCTGTAATCCCAGCAGTTCAGGAAGCTGGGACAGGAGGATCACAAGTTTGTACCCAGCCTGGGCAATTTAGTGGGACCCTGTCTCAAAATAAAAAAAAAAAAACAGCTGGGCATGGTGGCGCACGCCTGTAATCCCAGCACTCTGGAGGCTGAGGCAGGAGGATCGCTGAGAGTTCGAGGCCAGCCTGGGCTACAGAGTGAGCTCAAGGCCAGCCTGAACTACATAGTGAGAACCTGTCTCAAAAACACCACAAATAAAATATAAATGAGTAAATAAATAAAAGCTGGGGCTGAAAAAAAAAAAAAAAGCTGGGGCTGTAGCTCCTTATTAAGATCCTGCATTTGCTCCCTGGAACTGCAGAAAAAAAAGTCACTTGGGCACATGGGTGTGTGTCTATTTCTGGTTCCCAGCTGTGTTCCACCCAGGTATGTGTCTCCCCACCCCTCCTCCCGTGAATATCACAGTTTCAACTGCTGTCGCTGTACAATGAGTCTTGCCTGATCCCTCTCTTTTTTTGTATTTTTAAAAAACTGTTTTAGTGACTCTCTCTTGCCTTTGTATATAACTTTAACATAATCTTACTTATAGCTACAGACAGTCTCGCAGCAGCATTGGCTTTTTTTTTTTCCAGTACCAGGAATCGAACTCACGGCCTCGCGCTTGCCAGGCAGGCACTGTGCCGCTGAGCTAAATCCCCAGCCCCTCGCAGCAGCATTGTGACAGGGGAGAAAGGACATCTCTACTGTGAGGTGAATTAATCTGGGGACAAATGGCCTCTACCGTGCCACCGGGCAACAAACATGGTATGTTCTGCAGTTGTTCACAGCTTTTTCTGGTTTGTTTCAAGGGTGTGCTATAGTTTTCAGCATTCATAATCCCATACACAATTTTGTTAGATTTATACTCAAGAATTGCTTTGTTTTGAAGAATTATAGGTAGTACTGTAAGTCTTGTTTCTTTTTTTTTTTGTCTTTTTGAGACAGGGTCTCGCTATGCAGTTCAGGCTGGCCTTGAGCTTACTTTGTAGCCTAGGCTGGCCTCGAACTCAAAACGATCCTCCTGCCTCAGCCTCCCTAGTGTTGGGATTATAGGCATGTGCCACCACACCTGACTGTAAGTCTAATATTTGTGTCAATATATTTGTTGCTAGAGTATAAAAGCACTGTATGGGGGGCTGGATGTAGCTCAGAGATAGCACAATTAATTGCCTAGCATGTGCAAGGCCCTAGGTGCCCTCCCCAGCACCCCACAGCAAATGAGAGTCCCAAAGACTAGACTTGAGATCCTCCTTGGGGAGTTCTCAGTTACAAATTTAATTTCTTGAATAGTTAAAAGGCTAGGTAAATTTGATTCCCGGTACTGGAAAAAAACAAAACAAAAAACCCATAAAACAAACAAACAAAAAAGCTAGGTATGGTGGTGCAAGCCTGGAATCCCAGCACTTGGGAGGCTGAAGCAGGAGGAGCCTCACCAGTTCAAGCCCAGCCTGGGTTACATAGTGAGTTCAAATCTAGTCTGAATTACACAGCAAGACCTTGTTTCAAAAACATAGGACAAAACAAAACAAAAAAATAGTTAAAAGAAGATCCAAGGGCTGGGGATTTAGCTCAGCGGTACAGCGCCTGCCTGGCAAGTGCAAGGTTGTGAGTTTGATTCCTGGTACTGGAAAAAAAACAAAACAAAAAAAAATCCAAATTATCTAGTTCATGGGGCTGGGTATTTAGCTCAGCAGCACAGCGCCTGCCTGGCAAGCGCAAGGTTGTGAGTTTGATTTCTGGTACTGGAAGAAAAAAAAAACAAAAACAAATTATCTAGCTCATGTGTTTACTGGCTGCTTGTGTCTCTTCTTTGGAGAAACATCTATTTAAGTCCCACTTTATCAACTGAGCTGTGTGTATGTGTATGTGTGTGTGTGTGTGTATGTGTGTGTGTGTGTATTAGGAGGTCTCTATGTTGCCTGCATATTAATTCTGCATCAAACATATAATTTGATAACACTTGTCTTTGTTTATTTTTGTTTTTTTGAGACAGGGTCTTGCTATATAGTTCAGGCTGGCCTTGAACTCACTATGTAGCCAAGGTTGGCTTCAAACACAGCAATCCTCCTGCCTCAGCCTCCCCAGCGCTGGTATCACAGGCGTGTGCCACCATGCCTGCTGATAACACTTGTTTTAATCAGCTTTTCATCACTCTGACCAAAAACCTAGGAAAGGCAGCTTACAGGCGGGGCGGTTATTTGAGCTCAGAGGTTCCCATTGGTGGTCAGCAGGTACCATGGCTCAGGGCTGTGGCGAGGCTGGCGCTGCAGTGAGGCTGGTGCCACGGCGGGAGGGCGTGGAGGAGGAAAGCGGTCACCTCATGGTGGGCAACACCCTGAGAGCAAGAACCCTCAGAGGGGGCGGGGCCGTCCCTGAGGCCACACCCAGTCTCCCTCAGCTGTCAGGAACACCATCAAATCCTGCTCTCCCTGGATGAATCCACTGATTGCAGTTAGAGCCCTCCCTGGAAAACACCCACAGACACACCCACAAAGGTTCTGCTTTTATCCTGGGAGCGGGACTAAACTCAGGGCCTCCTCATTGAGCTCCACCCCCAGGCCTTTTAGTTTTTGAGACAGGGTCTTGTAAATTGCTAGGTTGCCCAAGCTGAGCTCCAACTTGCCACCCTCCTGTCTCAGCCTCCCAGAGCACTGGGATGACAGGTGTGTGTCACATGGCTGGGTGGCTGGGGCTTCTTTTGTCTCACAGAAAATCCAGGGAACTCGCTCTGTTCTATGAGGAGCTCCAAGGTGGCCCGCAGGACGGCCAGGACCGGGACGCCCCCTCGTAGGGCTGTAGCTAACGCTGCATCTGGACGGCACTCTGAGATCCCCGCCCCCAGCTGCTCTGCGCCGTGCCGCTGCCACCAGAGACGGGGACAGGTGTCCGCGGGCCCTGCCGTCCTGCCCTCTCCCCTCCCCTCCCATCTGCTCACGCCGTGTCGTACAGGAAGCCCGAGGTTCCTTTGTCCTCAGCAGCCTGGCCCTCTTCCCGCCACACCCGAAGCCCCCGGAGTTGGGACGGGGACCACCAAACCCTTCTCGTGCGCGTGATCCACGCCCACTTCCGCGTCACCGCCGCGCGGGGATTTTCCCACCAGCTGCCGCCTGCAGCCACCCCCGGCGGATCCACTGGGCGCAGACACGGTCACGCCCCCCGGCTGGGGGCTCGTGTGCGCAGTGTCCCCGCAGGTCCCCGCCTGGGACCTGTGCATCTGCGTCCTCACGCCGCATGCATCTGCGAAGGCAGCTCACAGGATGGAGGGCAGCACCGTACATTTCCACAGATGTCGCTGGATGTCCCGATGGGGGAGACGCCGGGGCGAGGGCTGTGGGGAGGGCTGGGGACCTTCAGGTGCTCCGCCATCCAGAAACTTCCAGAAACTTCCAGAAACTTCCAGGCCCTAGAGAGGCGTGATGGATGGCGTCACTGGCCAGTGGCGTGGCTCGGGCTCCAGCCTCTTTTCTTCCAGGAGGTTGCAGGGATGGGGTTGAAAGTTCCCTCTGGGCACAGGGTGGTTCCCCTGGCAACCAGCCACCAACCCAAGGCTACCTAGGAGCCCCCCGACAGTCTCCTTATTAGAACAAAGATGGTCCCCTCACCCAGGGGCTGAGAGGGTCCTAGGAGCTCTTTCTTAGGAACCAGGGTCAAAGACCCAGTACTGGGACAGAAGACTCTCCCAGCAACCCCTTCTGCAGGTACTGGGAGCTCTGTCTCAGGAGCCAGGGACAGAGACCAAATACTGGGTGTGTGTCCTGCTGTATGACAGCACCACGCGCACCTGTCACCCCCACCTGCCCTGTCGTCCACATTAAGTTACCTGCTCGGCTCCCGTGACCATGGGAGGTGGAGACCCTGGCTGGCCCCTTGTAGCTCAGCACTCTGGTTCTGGATTCCTTACTGGCAATAACAACTAAAAAAGAAAAAGAAAACCCAGAATGGTGGTGTTGCAAAGCCTCAGGGAGGCTGAGGCAGGAGGATTATAAGTTCAAGTCCAGCCTGGGCAACTGAGCAATTTAGTGAGACCCTGTCTCAAAATAAAAATAAAAAGGCTGGAGATGTGGCTCAGTGCAAAGGTCCTGGAGTCAATCCCCAATACTGGAAAAGGAAGGAAGGAAGGAAGGAAGGAAGGAAGGAAGGAAGGAAAGAAAGAAAGAAGAGAAACAAAGAGAAAGAAAAAGAAAGAAAGAAAGAAAGGAAGGAAGGAAGAAAGAAAGGATCCCAAGGCTTAGAGTAAAGCTGGCGCTGGCAGTGCGTAGGGGACAGTGGGGGAGAGGACCCCGTCCCCAGCCTCCCTTCCCAGGGAACGGAAGGCAGAACACTTCGCAGACTTCAGAGTTTATTTAAACCTCGGGCACCTTATCATATCTTCATCCAAAGAGCACAAAGTTAAACAAAGCAGCTGTGGAGGCCGAGGAGAGGGAGTTGATTTAAGATGGGGCGTTAGCGGCGGTTGGTTACCCAGCTATTCAGGGCCTCCGCCTTATCTCTGCCAAAGCCGCCTCGGGTCAGCAGCCCTGGCACCTGTCATGGGTCCTGGCCCCGAGGCCAACCCTGCCCCAGGGGGCTCGGGTGAGCTTGTGGGCCGGGAGGGGCACAGGCAGGCGCACTCCTCCCCTGCTAGCCAGTGCCCGGTAGCCACAGAGGCGACGAGGGGGTCGGTGAAGACGAATTATTCCAGCCAAGGAATGAACCCATGAGAAAACGTTCAGCACCTCTGGCTGGTAGAGAAACACAAATTGTTGTTATTATTATTATTAAAAAATAGAGAAGGGAGTGGTAGTGCACACCTGTAATTCCAGCACTTGGGAGGCTACGGCAGGAGGATCGCAGCAGTTCAAGCCCAGCTTGGGCTATATAGTGAATTCAAGGCCAGCCTGAATTACAGAGTGAGTGAGACTCTGTTTCAAAAAGCCAGCCGTAGTGGCTTGTGCCTGTAATCCTAGCACTCAGGAGGCTGAGGCAGGAGGATCACCATGAGTTTGAGGCCAGCCTCAGCTACAGCGTGAGTTGAAAGCTAGCCTGAAGTGTGTAGCAAAACTCTGTCTCAAAAAGGCAAAAATAAATACATAAATACATAAATATATTATTATTATTATTTTGTCTTTTTGAGACAGGGTCTCACTGTGCAATTCAGGCTGGCCTTGAGCTCACTTTAGAACCCAGGCTGGCCTCGAACTCCCAATGATCCTCCTGCCTCAGCCTCCCGAGTGCTGGGATTACAGGCGTGCGCCACCATGCTCAGCCATGAGAAATGCAAATTAAAACAGCACTGAGATTCCATCTTATTCTACAAAGAATGGCCAGCATTAAGAAATCAGGTAACAAAAAATGCTAGTGAGGCTGCAGAGTGTGTGTAGAACACTTCTACATATGGAGGCTAAGGCAGGATTGCAAGTTCAAAAGCCCAGCTTGGGGAACTGACCAACCTAGTGAGACTTAGTCTCAAAATAAAATATAAGCCGGGCATAGTGGTGCACACCTGTGATCCCAGCATTCAGGAGGCTGAGGCAGGAGGATCGTTGTGAGTTCAAGGCCAGCCTGGGCTACAAAGTGACCTCAAGTCCAGCCTGAACTGCATAGTGAGACCCTGTCTCAAAAAGACAAAGAAAAAAAAAGAAAAGCAAAACAAATATATATATATGTATATATATATGTGTGTATGTGTATATATATATGTGTGTGTGTATATATATCTATATATATATATATATATATATATATATATATATATATATATATATATGGGCTGGGTATGTAGCTCAGTGCCAAGGCCCTGGGTTCAATCCCAGTGCTGACAAAGAAAAAAAAAGAAAGAAAAATTATTTGGGGGTTTAGCTCTGTGGTAAATGTTTGACTAATATGCACCAAGTCCTGGGTTCCATTCCCAGCATCACAAGAAAATACAAAAACCCAAAAACTATTCCACAGCACTTGTCAAAGCACAGCGAGGAAGACTTCACTCAGGACGGCTGAGGTCGGCGTGGGGCCACGCAGTGGGGCGAGAGACTGGGCCCCCTCCAAACACCGCAAGGACAAGTGGGAGTCACAGCTCGGGGCGGGAGGTGACTCAGGTGACATCAGGGTGAGGGGGCTTCCCGGCAGGATGCTCGGCCAGCGAGGGGACATCCTCGGGGGGTGGGAGCCTGACCAGAAGCGGGGTGATCAGAGACCCAGCAGGGGCACGTCCGGCCTCGTCCCGCCACACTCACTCGGTGGGGTTCTTTGCTGAAATTGCATCCCAGGGCCTAGGAGAAGGCCCAGAAGCCTTACTAAAGTTTGGCCAAGCAGAGACCACGCAGGCCTTGCTGTTGCCAGAATATGCCGCCCTCCTTCCTTAGGGGGCAGCGGGCTTGGTGTGACCTCCTTATGTGGAGAGAGGCTTACCCCGGTGTTCCTCAGTCATTTCTTGCCTGCCAGTCCTAGGGGCCCATTAAAACATCATAAGCAGCTCTGATAAACGGTCCAATATTGCTTCTCTGCCCCTTCTTCACTCCTCCTCCTCTTCCTCCTTCTCTGTACTGAGCATGGAACCCACAGCCTGCCCAAGCAAGGCAAGTGCTACACCCTCAGGCCTGTGTTTTCTTGTTTTTGTTTTTTTATTTGCGGTACCGGTGATCGAACTCAGGACCTTGTGCTTGCCAGGCAGGCGCTTATGCCACTGAGCTATATCCCCAGCCCCCAGGCCTGTGTTTTTATTTGAGACAGTTCTTGCTATGTAGGCCAGGCTGGTCTCAAACTTGAGGCAATTCTCCTGCCTCAGCCTCCTGAGTACTAGAATTAAGAGATGTTCCTCAAAATGCTCAGTTTATGAACCACGGAGTTATTTCTGTTTTTCTTTAATGTGTTAAAGTAATTTAGAAGCCCCATGTGGTGCTCATACCTATAATCTCAGCATTTGGGAGGCTGACATAGGAGGATTACTGTGAGTTTGAGGCCAGCCTGGGTTACACAGTAAGACCTATCTCAAAATACTTTCTTTTTTTCTTTTTTTTTTTTTAGTACCAGGGATTAAACTCAGGACCTTGTGCTTGCCAGGCAAGAGCTTATGCCACTGAGCTATATCCCTGGCCCTCAAAAAGCTTTCTAAAAATTTTCCTATACATTTCTGTCCACAGGAGAAACCAAGACATACACTTAACAATATCTCCCTGTTTTGAGACATTCAAGACATTTCAGATGGCAAAAGTAAAATTCAACCATTAGTAAAATTTTTTTGCTTTTGGACGTTTTTTTCCAAAACTTGTGGCAATCCTCCTGCTTCAGCCTCCTAAGTACTTGGATTGGGCGTGTGTCACCATGCCTGGTTGAAATGTTCAAAAATACATATTTAAAGTGTCTTTATAAGATAAAAAAAAATCGCTGGGTGTGGTGGTGCATGTCTGTAATCCTAGCACTTGGGAGGCTGAGGCAAGAGGATCATTGCAAGTTCAGACCAGCCTGGGCTACAAAGTGAGCTCAAGGCCAGTTTGAACCACACAGCGAGAAGACCCTGTCTCAAAAAGACAAAAATAAAAGAAATAAAAAATAAAATTAAATTAAAAAACTCCCACAATGCAATAAATTTCAGATCACTGAAATTTTTTTTTTTTTTTTTTTTTTTTGAGACAGGGTCTTGCTGTGCAGCTCAGGCTGGCCTTGAGCTCACTTTATAGCCCAGGCTGGCGTCAAACCTGCAATGATCCTCCTGCCTCAGCCTCCCTAGTGCTGGGATTACAGGCATGTGCCACCATGCCCTGCCAGATAGCTGAAATTTTAACCCTTTAGATGATGTCAGTTTACTTTTTGGTTTCAAAATCTAGACACAGTAAGAAAAAAACATGTTGGCAGGATTTCTATCCGCTTTTATATTTCTCTTTCTTGCTTTGATTATTGGTTACACTGATGAGCCAGGCGTGGGGGTGCACACCTGTAATCCTAGCACTCGGGAGGCTGAGGCAGGAGGATCTCTATGTGTGAGTTCAAGGCCAGCCTGGGTTATAGCAAGACCCTGTCTTAAAAAACCCACCCCACCCAAACCCAACCCAACCCAACCCCAAAAAACAAACCAAACCAAACCAACCAACCAAACAAAAAACCCAAACAAAACAAAACAAAACCCAAAACAAACAACTCGTCATTCAGCACCTGCAGGTATTCTGGCACCTTTTCAGGCTTTTAGTTTCTCTCCTTCCAGCCTCTTCTTGGATCCTTACCTGGTCTGGTGGTCTCTTGGGCCTGGCGTCTCTTGAAGACCATCTTCTGATTCTTTGGCAACGTCTTGTCTTTTTTTTTCCGGTGTCGGGAATCGAACTCACGACCTTGCACTTGCCAGGCGGGCATTGTGTTGCTAAGCTAAAACCCCAGCCCCCTCTTTGGCAATGTCTTGATCTACATCAGCATCTCCTAGATCACAGGCTCCTTCTCCAGTTCTATCTTCACTGCAGCTGTCATCAGAATTCTGAGCTGGCTCCTGCGTCTTTGTCTTCAGTTGTTAGAAAGCTTTCCTCCTGGTACATCTTCCACTTCTTCCTCAGAATTGCCATTCAGGCCGGGCATGGCGGTGCACGCCTGTAATATCAGCACTCAGGAGGCTGAGGCAGGAGCATCACTTCGGGTTCAAGGCCAACCCGGGCTACATAGTGAGACTCTGTCTCAAAAAGACAAAAATAAAAAAAGCAACCAAAAACTGGCATTTGGTAGATTCTCATTCACTTGACGTCCTGGAATCTCCTCTCCCTCCTGCTCCAACTGTTGTTCCAACAACAGCCGTTTCCCGCTGTTCTTTTGCTTTTCAGGATTCTTCCTGGCGGCGTCTGTCTGGAACGTTTTGTCGCACGCTGGGCTGTAACGGTTGCCGTGGCTCGGCACTGTCCTTAGCACCCTGTCTTCCTTCAGCCCATGTTCCTCCATTTCATTTTCAGCTGCTCCAACTCCAAACTCCTCTTCAAGCCCAGCGTGGAGGCGCACGCCTGTGACCCCAGCACCCAGGAAGCTGAGGCAGGAGGATGGCTATGAGTTCCAGCCCAGCCTGAACTACAATGTCAGACGCTGTCTCAGAAAAAAAAGCCCAAACTCTCCTTTTCATTCCGGCTCCTTTGGCTGTGGGCCTCTGGGGGCATCTCGTCTCCCCGCCTCCCTGGCCTCCAGCTCTGCTCCTCGTGGGCTTCCCAGGGGCCTGCGCTCTTTAGCTCCCAGCTCGGATCTCCTCCTCAGTCCTGCTTTTGGGTGGAATCTTTCTGTCGCCACGGGCCCGTGAACCTCGCTCTTCCTTCCGGACAAAACTCTTCGGGCTGCAGAAGGGCTGGCCATGGTGGAAAGGGTGGACAGCGGTGTCGCGGTTGCCAGGCGGGTCTCCACACGCAGGGAACCCTCCACAGCTGCTCTAAGGCGGGTTCCAGTTCTCCCTCTGCAGCCATTTTAGAGACATTGCTGCCTGCGGGCTAGGGGCCCACGCCCTCTCCCTAGGGCACCGCACACCCCAGTGGTGGATGCTCGGATTCATTTAAATCCTTCGCCTGCTTCAGGGGCCCCACCCACAAGTTTATCCGGCTTCCTATAGGTGCGGCACTCGCAGAGCCTGGTAGCGACATTTCATCCCCGGCCCGGTGCGGGCAGTCAAAGCATAGAACTATTTCACCCATTACAATCTTTTGTATAAATCGTCATACAGTGTCCATAGCTGACGTTATGATATCTATCGATTTTGTTGTTGTTTTGTTTTTTTCTGTTTTTTTTTCAGTACCGGGAATCGAACTCACAACCTTGCGCTTGCCAGGCAGGCGCTGTGCCGCTGAGCTAAATCCCCTTCCCTTATTTATATTTTCTTTCTTTCTTTCTCTCTTTCTCTCTCTCTTTCTCTCTTTCTTTCTATGTAGTGCAGGCTGGCCTGCAATTTGCTATGTGGCCTGGAATGGCCTCGAACTCATGGTGATCCTCCTGCCTCAGCCTCCTGGTGCTGGGCTTACGGGTGTGTGCCACCATACCCAGCTTTGTATTTTGACTTTTATCCATGGGATCTGGCTTATAACTCCCTCCCCAAGGCAGGCCATAGAAACTAAAACTGCTCTTTTCCAAAAAAGGTCATGGAAACCCTAACCTTCCCCTGTCTTTCTATTTAGGAAATTCTCAGGCCTACCTTGCCTGATGGTCGATGATAAGACCTTCCTTCCAGAAGGAATCCTGGGAGGGAGGAGGCAGAACAGAGAGGCTGGAAGGAACCCAACCACAGGCCTTGGGGGTTTCGCATTTAGCGGGTTAGCGTTGGAACACTAGCACTGGGACCCTCTCGGCCCCTCACATTCTTACCCTTTCCTGCGTGCTTGTCCTGTTCAAGCAGGGAGGTCTCCACAGGAATCCACAGGGGCGGGGAGTGGCATTGCATACCTGTAATTCCAGCACTCTAGGAAGCTGAGGCAGGAGAATGCAAGTTCAAGCTGGCTTGGGCAACTTAGTGTTTTCGCAAGACATTGTCTCAAAATTAAAAAAAAAAACAAACACGGGGGCGGCTTGAGATATGGGTCAGTGCAAAGGCCCTGGGTTCAAATCCCAGTATGCAACAAACAAACCTAAAGGGACAGGATGGGCCACAGGTCCGGATTCTGTACCCGGTGAGCTGGGGAGGGGCTGTGCTCCGGAAGTTCTGTGCACTTGCGGAGGCGAAATGACCCCCTCTAGGGGCTGGCGATAGGTGTGTCACATGGGGCGGTGGTGTCCGGCACCCCCCCTGCCCTCCTGTGCGATCCACGCGGTCCCCAGGCACTGGTTTGGACTGGATTGAACTGGATCAGGACACCCGGCAGGATCCACAACGCCTGGCGTCGGGATTGGCTGCGCCCCAGTCTGAGACCGTTTCCCCAGCGTCCCATAGGAGCAACTAGGGACAGCCCTGCCTCAGCCTCGTGCGCCGAGGAGGAGCCGCGGGACGCAGAAGGCCGCGATTCCCTGGCCCCGCTCCGTGGGCGGCCTCGGGGCGAGGCCCCCACGCTCGACTCCCGCCCGTCTGGCGGGTTCGGGTTTGGCAGCTGTAGCCCGCGATGCCACCCGTTCCTGGGATGGGCGCCGAGCTCCGGAGAAGCGGCCTCGGGTCACGCGCGGGCCTGCGGGTCCCTAACGCTGGCCCCGTCGCCGCCCAAGCGGAAGGGTCCTTGCCTGAACTGGGCTCTCTCGGGTTCTGAGCACCATGGAGCGCCGCCGGCGGGGCCCCTGGTCTGACTTGGCCTTGTTTCCTGTCCTTGTTTCCCATTTGTCCTTTTGTCATTGATGTACAGAATTTCTTTCTGTGTCCTAGGTGTTTGTCCTTGGTTGGTTACGGAGCTTGCAAACATTTTCTTCCAAGCTACAATGGCCTGACTTGTACTACTTTTATGGTGTCTTTTACCATGTAGTTTTGTTTTTGAGACATAAAATACATTTAAGGCCGGGCACGGTGTAATCCCAGCACACCAGAGGCTGAGGCAGGAGGATTGCCATGAGTTTGAGGCCAGTGTGGGCTATATGGTGAGACCTTGCCTCAGAAACAAACAAACAAAATAAATAAATGAATGGAATTATCAAATTGTATTTCCTTGCTGAAAGAAACTGTCAGTGAGGCATTGGTTGGTTAGCTTTGTATGTCTATATGTGTTTTTATGAGAAACTACATTGAAGATATCAATATGTAATACAATAAGCATTGTTAATTCTGTACCACTCTG